AAAAAGACAGTATAAGTCATTATAATCCATAATTATGTCCCCACTGGATGCAACGAATGCCTAGTTTATAATGGGTTTTCATGTTTTTGAATCATCGCTCCGGCCTGACAGGGCATCGTCACAATATGGTAAGGGGCGTAACATTTCCGTCACACGCTTGAGGTATTCGGCCAATCACAATGCACTGGATAGCTGGCCAATCACAGCACACCTCGCTTTTTCAGACCGATGAGCTTTGTAAAAATTGACGCGTTTCAGAAAGGCGGGGCATAGAGGAGAAACAATAATGTACAGTATGTGGAAAATAATGTGTTTTTTTAACCTTAAACCGCATAAACACATTTCATTACACCAAATACACCAAATAATGTTCTTTTTAACAGCATCATATGACCCCTTTAAACTGGTCCTGACTCTCTGAGATCATTAGCAATCCAAGAGGGGTTCTCAAAAAAAGTGTAGGAGTACAACCCTGGCATACTGGCTAAATTTACTCTTTGGTCTCCATCCATCATAGCCTCCTACTCATGCTTATTTAAACTGATTGGCTACATCACTTGGTCTCCACTCCACCAGTAGCCAGTGTGTGGTGGGCGTTTTGGCACACAGCGGCTGCTATTGCTTCAGCCAAGCACATGCTAGAAACTGGTGGTGTTAATAGAGATCCCACCACCCATTAAGTCACATTGAATGTTGTGTAGATGTAATAGTATTATTAATTTAAACATATTGTAAAAGTGCTTTACAACATATGTTAGTTTTAAATCAAGACCAATCAGAACAAGCTGTGAAGTTTTAAGTGTTCCTCATCCCAGCTGTCGGGGTAGACTGTAGTTCTTTAATCTGTTTTGATCGGTCTAGTTGTTGAATGCGTGTGAATCTGAATTTAATTGAATTTAGGAAGAAGAAATTCACAGGTAATGCATTCTGGGAAATGAAGATTATTTCACCCTGGTCCACAAAAATACATTTATTTAATATTAAAGATAATATATGAACTAAACAGTAAATATATTAAACAAACAAACAAACAAACAAATAAATAAATCTGGTACTTTTGAAGGTCTTTTAAAACTTTTTTCAAAACATACAAACCAGCCAAAATGTAAAGTTTACTTTTCTAGCTAATTAAAATTTGTTGCATGAATTTTCAGTTCATTTTAAATCTCCTTCCTTAAATACGTTTGAATTTTAATTCTGCATCGTGTCGCCTTCCTCAATACAAATTTAACTGAAATCCAGGAATTGAATTGGAATTTGGGAGAATTTTACAATCACTAAGATTAATTTCCCAATACTTTCAATGCAGTAAGCAAAACAGCAATTGGTGTGGGCTAAACTTTGAATAATTTTTCAGCGCTTTGGTTCAAATTACATTCAGTAGATACAGTACATTGTTTTACAAAACAAAACATTGTATTATGGTACCTGTTGTTATTGTTTTTTAGGTTATTGTTATATGAGTGACAGTGTATTGAAATCTGCCTTAGTGATTGTATTAAAAAAAGTTACTGTGCATTTCAACATCCAGTGTTATTTTGGCATCTAACTCTGATCCACAGGTCCAGACTGAGATCAAGAAAACATGGACACGGTGGAACCTAGCGTTTGATTGGAAGGGCCCAGTGGTGTGCGGGAGCTACCGCTATGGCTCTGTGTTGACGGGCCTTAACAACAGCACCAGCAGTCAGTCCCAGCTGGCTACCGGTGGCCCGGGCACCCGCTCCCCCTCGTTCTTCTCCAGCCGAGTCTACCGCAGCAGTGGGGGGCCAACTATCAGTGCCCATGCCACATTGCCAGGCTATGTGCTCAATTCGGACGCTGACAGCTTGCCACCATCCATACCCGAGGAGCCAGAGGACAGTGCAAAGCAGGTCGATGACATCCTGCTAAAGGAGTCCCTGCCCACGAGGTCCAGCAGCGGCCTGGAGGATGACGAGGAAACTCTGTAGATAATGGCGCGGTGATAGTCAGCTAAATTGGGTGTAATAGCACACAGATTACATATTTGTTATTTCTTCACTTAACCCGTTGTCAGTGATGTTATGTGTAATGTTTGTTTAAATAAATTTGTCATGAAAACAATCTTTTTTATGAAAGCCACTTATTAAATGTTTATATTTTAACAAATAATTGAAAAATAATTATATAATTCATTAAAAAGTTGATACAAAAACTGCCTTATGCAATTTAATAGTTTACACAGTTTTTTAAGTATTAACTGTTATATCTAAAAATAAATAGCTGTTTAATTTAGTAGTTTTGGACAAATCGTTTTTTACTTTAACCTTTAATATTATAATGGACCATCTGACAGGGTTCCCTTAGTTGAGAGGGATCCAAAATACTTTTACCAAAATACCAAAATAATAATTCAGGTCGATATGCATGTTGTATATTTTGTTAAGTATTGTACTTTCAATATTCTAACTTCAGTTTCTTCAGCAGTGTATATCAATTTATTCACAATTCATTACTATCCTACTCAGCTCTCAAATGTACAATAGTTTGTGTGGATAACTTGAAGAGTAGGATAATTTTGAAATGTCAAGCCTCTTGTGCAAGCAAACATCACATATGGAAGGCATTGTGAGCAATTCTTCTTTGACCTATAAGGTTATTGAGTAAAATGCAGTCAGGAAGCGTGAAGCATAAATCAATTTAAAACAATTATGTAAGCCAAATATGTGAGGCTAAAAAGAGTAAGATGAATAGTGATAGTCCTCAGCTTTTATTAGTTTTATTTTATCATAGTTTATAGAAAAACTGGTGTGAACAAACCAAGTAATTGCGTTGTCAGCAGAGACTTGCTCTTATGAAAGGAAATGATTCAACATGTTACCACAGCATCACACAGGAAAAAAATAATAATGAAGTTACGACAAAATGTATGGAGACCTGCCATGTTTGTGTCATAGTCTGAGGGTCAGTGTTCTAAAATTTCATAAGTTTCTACTCGTAGAGATGTGTGTGGAGAAAAAAACAACAACTTTTAAGCACGTGAAAAGATTGTTTTAGTCCATGTATACAAATGTGCATTTTGATCTCAACCACTTGCACAAGCTGGAAGAAAAAGACTTCAATTTACACACCTCTGCCAGACTTAGACTTTAAACTTACTCAGCTCTCAAATGTACAATAGTTTGTGTGGATAACTTGAAGAGTAGGATAATTTTGAAATGTCAAGCCTCTTGTGCAAGCAAACATCACATATGGAAGGCATTGTGAGAAATTCTTCTTTGACCTATAAGGTTATTGAGTAAAATGCAGTCAGGAAGCGTGAAGCATAAATCAATTTAAAACAATTATGTAAGCCAAATATGTGAGGCTAAAAAGAGTAAGATGAATAGTGATAGTCCTCAGCTTTTATTAGTTTTATTTTATCATAGTTTATAGAAAAACAGTGGTGTGAACAAACCAAGTAATTGCGTTGTCAGCAGAGACTTGCTCTTATGAAAGGAAATGATTCACCATGTTACCACAGCATCACACAGGAAAAAAATAATAATGAAGTTACGACAAAATGTATGGAGACCTGCCATGTTTGTGTCATAGTCTGAGGGTCAGTGTTCTAAAATTTCATAAGTTTCTACTCGTAGAGATGTGTGTGGAGAAAAAAACAACAACTTTTAAGCACGTGAAAAGATTGTTTTAGTCCATGTATACAAATGTGCATTTTGATCTCAACCACTTGCACAAGCTGGAAGAAAAAGACTTCAATTTACACACCTCTGCCAGACTTAGACTTTAAACTCTAGAGAAACACAACAGCTCATCCAAAATATATGCATATGTGCCATTCCTGTCAGTGGGCTGATGATATAACAAGCCCTCTTGAAACGATGTGGTAATGTCATTTTTAATTGGACCTGTCCATATATTGGTCCACCATGTGCTTTGTAATCTGAAGAAGGCCACGGGATGTTATGTTTTGGAGATGCTGAAGATCATTATGTACAGAATAATATAGTGTACTCTTAAACAGATTACATAAGTACAATGAAATAAGTTCTGACACCCATGTTGGAGAAACTTAAACTTTTCATCTTCTGTTTAAAAGGAATAGTTTTTGCAAAAATACAAATTTTCTGAAAAATCACTCTCAGGCCATTTAAGGTGTAGAGTTTTTCTTTTCAAATTCAAATAGTATTTTTACGTTAATAAAGTATTGAACATTATGTACCATATATGTGACTCTGGACCACAAAACCAGTCTTAAGTCGCTGGGGTATAATTGTAGCAATAGCCAACAATACATTGTATGGGTCAAAATTATTGATTTTTCTTTTATGCCAAAAATTATTAGGATATTAAGTAAAGATCATGTTCCATGAAGATATTTTGTACATTTCCTACTGTAAATATATTAAAACGTAATTTTTGATTAGTAATATGCATTGCTAAGAACTTCATTTGGACAACTTTAAAGGCGATTTTCTCAATATTTCGATTCTTTTGCACCCTCAAATTCCAGAAATAGATGTATCTCGGCCAAATATTGTCCTATCCTAACAAACCATACATCAATGGAAAACTTATTTATTCAGCTTTCAGATGATGTATAAATCTCAATTTTGAAAAATTGACCCTTATGACTGGTTTTGTGGTCCAGGGTCACATATAAGTGACCATGTCAGATGTGTTTACATCAGATTTCAAGCATTTATAGACTCGATTCTGTATGTTCTGAGTAGCTCAGTTAGCAATTCCAGAAATAGTTGTATCTCGGCCAAATGTTGTCCTATCCTAACAAACCATACATCAATGGAAAACTTATTTATTCAGCTTTCAGATGATGTATAAATCTCAATTTTGAAAAATTGACCCTTATGACTGGTTTTGTGGTCCAGGGTCACATATAAGTGACCATGTCAGATGTGTTTACATCAGATTTCAAGCATTTATAGACTCGATTCTGTATGTTCTGAGTAGCTCAGTTAGCAGAAAGTAATATGAAGCAGCAGCAATGATTAAAATCAGCATCTCTCTTCATAAATATGTACATGACTCACATTGATAGAGGAGCCCAAGCCATATTTGGGGACTGTAATATCAGTATGCCCTAGGAACCATTTATAAAATGCAAAAAAAATATGCAAGTAACCCCTGACTATCATCCACAGCATCGTGGCATCGTGGTGGGGAATTTTGCATAAGCAAGCACTGTAGTTTATCTTCATTATGGCCTTCAAACTGGTCCATTCCAAATCACTCCTAATTCTCAAACTGCCTGGCAGGCAATGCTAATTAATTTGGTAATAAAAATAGACAAAAATGGTGGAAAAACTTCTGCAATCCTACAAATTTCCCAATACAAGATTCATTTGGGATGTTTCAAATACATAAGCTATACAAATATTACATTTACTTTCATTCATTTAGCATTTTTCCCCCCAAAGTGAGATAAGGAAGAACATAAGTGATTACTCACAAAGAAATGGGTATTAGATTAACTTCCACGCACAAACAAACAAATGAAAAAAACTAATTTACATAAGATGAAGTAATAAGAGTGCTTACAGAGTAATTTACTGCAGTGACAGTTTTTAATTAGTTTAGTCAAAATAATTGCTAGAAAGCATTTACAGAACCAATATGTAAATATTTGCTTTCACCTAAAACTATTAATTGGAGGATTACATCACTTGCTCATCAATGCTTCCTCTGCAGTGAATGGGTGCCATCAGAATGAGTTCAAACAGCAGATAAAAACATCACAATAACCAGATTCAGCTTAATATATGGTGCTCATCAAATTTTCATCAAAGTAAGTATTGAAATATATATATATATATATATATATATATTGGTCAAAAATTTTGAAAACTACAGCAAATTATGGGCATCATAAGAAATTGCTGTGGAACTAGTTTTTTATATCTTCTAAATGAGTTTAAGAAAATTATTAACTGGTGTCTATCAATCAATAAAAACACACACATTACAACACATAATAGCCTTTATTTAATAACAATCTGCATTTATAACATTTATTTATTTATATTAACAATATAATTTATTGTCATACAGACTAAACATGCAGGCTTAAAGGCATAGTTCACCCAAAAATGAAATTATGTTGTTAATTGACTCCAATTGACTCTTGCCATCCAAGATGTAGTTAACCTTTTTCTTCAATTGAACAGTAAAGGAGATTTTTAGGTGAAACCATTGTCATTGGCCATTCATAAACTGCACATCTCTGGCTGGCAGCTTTTGAGAGTCAAATAAACATGTACAGACAAGACCAAATTACCAAATGCTCCTGAGGACACATTGAGGCCTTATGAAGCTAAACAATCAAAAACCGGCAGCCACAGACATGTAGTGTATGAATCGCCAAGGATCACAGTTTCAGATAAAAATCTTCTTTACTGTTCTACTGAAGAAAAAAAGTCACTGACATCTGGGATGACCTGAGGGTCAGTAAAATAACAGCACATTTCCATTTTTGGGTGAACTATCCCTTTAAAGTGCTCCAGTTGTCAAACATTACATTTAATACAACTGCAAAATTTATTTTAAACATTCGTTTAATTAACTTAAAAAAAGACTAAACAAGTTAAGCAAAATGTTTGCAAACAAACATTTACAAATATTACTACTGTTCACAATTACATCTCTAAAATGAGGCAGAAGTCAGAAAAAATAAATGAATCAGGTGTTACAGTTCAACTGAACTGAGTCAAGTAAACTTAAGTCATTGTATTTACATAGCGCTTTTTACAATACAGATTGTGTCAAAGCAGCTTTACAGTATTAAACAGAAAAATTGTGTGTCGAAGGAACCAAAACCATCGTTCTCCTCTGGCCAGACGAAACCAGCAGTTTAATTGCAGGCTGCAGCAAAGTCAGATTGTGCAGAGGACTGGTCTGGTTCCTGTGGTCTTGTTCCGATGGCTGTCTAGGTGGTGAGGTCTTCACTGGGGATCTGTGTCTGGGGCTCATCTAGTTTTCATGGGCTCCTC